CAAACAAATAGCCAAATACAACACAAGCTCTCCTATAATTTAGCAAAGAGTTAACCATTAAATAAATTACATCCCTTGTATCAAACCAGACCCACCAAATGAGCTCCTTCAAGGCAAAGACAATCATTCAGTATTATTTTAGAAAACATTAGTGAACTTGATCCAAATCAGGTCTCAGGCACCGGTTTCTCTTGAATGAGACTTCCTGACCTGTATAAACGGAAAGTTAAAATTAATATTTTGCTCAGGGGTGTGGAGCATTAGAGGTAATAAAACAATTTTCATCTCAGAGCAGTTGGAGAAGGGTGAATCATCCAGCCCTCCCACATCAGTACTTCTGTGTCATGTTGTGTCACTTGTCTTAAAATGAGTCTATGTGAGTGATTATTATCAAAGCCAACTGTAGTTTTGATCACAACACCAAGGCGCTTAGATGACCTTTACAGACCAAATGTGGGGTTGACACCTCTGTCAGGCTGCAGTTGATGTTAGTGACCTTGGACAGAGTGACCACCAGCTCGTTCTTTCAGTCTTCAGTTTGTCTCCCTCGGTCTGGAGACCAGTTCAGCTTTGTGTAGCAGTATATATCTCAGCATACAGCAAGACTTGACTGGATGTTCTCGCTGTGGACAAACTCCAGGAACCCCCTCTGGACAGTTAATTCAGTTCGCTGTTGGACTGTTAGATCTTTGAAAAGTCACTTTAATTGGCTGAAAAGTTCTTTGTTGTTGTGTCAGTGGTGCTTGACTGACAACTTCTTTGAACTGTCCCATTGGTCAGTTTCACAGACCCAACTTCAGCGCCCACCTGAACACCTCTGGTTTCCGATCCGGCCCCCGGCACTCGAGAGTCCTGATCAAAACTCAGATGGATGCTGTATGCATTTGAATGCTACCTTCTGTGTTTTGTGGGCCTAGCCAGACTCATCTTCTCACTCCAAAGTTCTGTCATCTCCGGCCGCAGAGAAGGAAAAATAAACAATCAAATTATTAAAATCAGATTCAACATTCATCTGTTATCCACATTAATCATTAGTTAGCAAGTTTTACTCTGGAACCACAGCGTTTACCCCAACGGAGTCATTCTGGTGTCCTGGATTGTACAATAGATGTTTTAACCGCTCAATTACATAAGAGTGAAAGCTTTCATTAAACACTGCACAAGCCAATTCTTTACGCCTACTGCATAAAATATTCCCCTCCAAACAATGTCCTCCATCTTGTAGAATATGTGTGTTGACACATCACCTGACAGTGAAGTCCACTCTCAGGGCCACATTATCAGTCCAGACCTTGTAAATTTATGCAGCCTGATAATATGTGATCACTTATTGTTATATAACAAATCTGCAAATAATTTCCTCTTATAACTATGCTTTTTCACTGTATCACAAACAAAATACTTTTAATACAAATCAATTAAGACTATGTATACCCTTCAAGACATCCCAGAGTCCATTATCACTGCACAAAAACGTCTACATGCACCTTTGTTCACAAAGTACAACTTCTTAAGCTCACCATGTACACATCTCTGTTGTCCTTTTGCACTCCTAGGACCTGTGTGAAATCTCAAGTCACAAAGTTAAAGTCATGTCATTTACCCACTAGAATTGTTGTTGTCCCCTAATTAACCTAGTTCCGGCAGCTCTTAGAAGGAAACAGCTCCTAAACGCTAAACATTTTCAATATGTGATAAACTCATGTGGACTGATTAATTTAACCCAAGTATTTCAATTTGAGTTTAGTTAAGACTGATTATTTTAATCCAAGTATTTCAATTTGAGTTCAGTGTCCTAATTTATTTGATCTAATCATTTCAATTTGAGTTTAGTTAAGAGTTTCTTTGACCAGAATAAAATTGTTTTCTTTGTTTTACGAGTGTCAAGGATTTTGTTTATTACTTATTATTTTTTTATTTTTTAGTTGAATTTAAAACCTGATATTATTGTCAATTCCAAGAAGTAATTTAGGCTAATTTGTTTACAATGTGTCATCCAGAAATGTTTAAACTTAATTTGACCTATTTTGAACAAATAAAAGAGGCTGATGCTATTGGCCATGAAGTGCGCCGTTGGTTAGCATCAATGCTACTTTGCTCAATGCTAACGCTGCTTCTGTTTATCACTTTATTTTGATCCAGAATATGTTCCGCCCTGTGAAGATTCGGCAGAAAATGCAGTTTCAGACCCGCCAAGCGTCCCGTCTTCTTCTGCCCCTGCACCATCCCCCTCACCGAGCAGCTCACAACAGCCTGCTAATCTTGGTGAGAAACAACACGATTCACATCACCGC